GTCCTCTCGGGAGATACTCACCTCGGCAATAGGTAGTAAATGAGTTGAGGAACTGCGTAAAGAGAAGGGAATGAGTAAGACGGCAAGGATTCATTCATTCTTGTGTCCTGCCAGTACTCTTAAGCAAAGCCATTCAGAGGTCAGTCAGTCATTGTATCTGATTTTATACGCCACTCTGAAGCTTGAAGGCTTACTTACCAGTTCTGATTTTCATCTTTGTTCTTAGCTTTGCAAATTTGAGTATCTTTTAAAGAAGCTTTGCGTGCAGCTTCATGCAATGTAGTTTTATGTGTAATATGTCTACTATTTTGGGAATGAAAAAAGAGTGGGAAAAGCATAGCAACTTGGAATTATGTTTATTTCTGCTGCTATGTATAGGTTAACATATCCCTTTCCCAAGATCTCAGAACAGCAAATAGTATTTGGATCTAATAATTAATGTTTCCAGCATATATCTTTGCTTCAAGTCTTCCTGTGTTTTGATAGTCAGTAACAAGATAGACTTAGAATCCAGATTGTTTATTTCAAACTTCAGCATTTGCAGATTTAAATCCTACTACTCTCAAACTGTAGCTATTATGATTGACTTGTAATTATATTTAACAGCCCATGACCTAATATTCTGGCTTGGAGGCAGGTGTTTTTTTGGTGCTTTATTTTTGATGCTTTTTTTCTTTTTGTGAGAAAATCAGAAAGTTTCCTTATATCACAATTTGCAACAGAATAGCTTTCCTATTTAAACAAAAAATAAATAAAATGTGTGGGATGTATGAGTAAATAGACTTCAAGTAAACGTTTAATGGGTCTGTAAGGAAGATTAAAGAAGCCAGCAGTTGAAAATGGTTCTTTAGTTTGTGGGACAACTTACTTACTAGTTTGCCACGTAACTTGTTAGTACACTCAAAATGTCAGACTTCAAAGTGACTTGATTTTGTTTTGATTATGAATAAGAAATTATTTTGATGGTCTAAAGGAGATCCTGCAAATTTATTACTAAATACAGTTCTTTTGCTGCTAGAGATTGCTAATGCCTTCAGTAACACTTCCTTTTTGAGCCCTTTTAGGATCTTACAGTTTGCTATGTGGGAACGCCAGCAAGGTTAAATAGCATGTTATGCAATAACCAGACTTTGACACTTGCAATAAAATGGTGGATAAAATTGTTCCCCTTGTCAAAGGGAACTGAGTATTTTAGCAAGCTGCCACTAAATTCCACTTCATTTGTGGAATATGAATGGAACCTTTTACCCCACAATTGCAAGTAATTAAAATGTTGTTTTATAACAGTAGCTAAAAGTGAGCTGTTGTAGTGCTCTTCGTGTCTCTGTCATACTTCCCAGACTGCTTGAAAATGCTAAGAGTTTTTGGTTTTCCCAGCCTTTTTGCTTCAACAGGGGAATATTACTATTTAATATTAATAATAATTATGTGTGTGTCTCATTTCACTCGAAATGCAGGCCCTTTGTGTCCATTTTCTCGTCTAGAATTATATACATTATTCAGCATTGTTCAGTGTAGGGTCCCTGGTGTTCTCTTGCACGGTTTATTAACCTGCAGGATATGGGCTGTTTGTGATGGCATGGTACTTTTTTCTTACTGATTTGAAGGAAAACAAAAATTTTATAAAGAATCTGTAATAAAGAAGACTGAAACAAATAATTTGGTGGGATTTGGGACCTTATTTGAGTCTTTATAAAAACTAAGAGAGTAAGCTCTTTATCAAATATAAATTAAGGCGAGTTGATTACTCCAAATACATTCATCCACATAAAGAGCACACAGTATTTTCTCCAGCTGAATTATGAATGGCAGAGCAAGTACCAGTGCTTGATGAATGCCAGGTAGAAGTTGATACTAGATGAATACAATTGGGTTGTATTTCAAATGTTGGGTTTGTAAATGAGGGTGACTTCCCATGAGAAAACATAGATGGAAATTATTTTGGCCTTGATCTACAAATCTGGGGAGAGGAAGACTTTCAGAAAAGAGATGTATTAAGGAAATTGTCCAAAAGGATGTGAATACTGATCTGATTTTTGGGAACCTGGAGGCGTCCAAAAGGAGAAGGGCTTCAGGAGAAGCCCTGCTGACAGTAGTTTTGTTGCCTGACCAGTGTTTTCAACATCAAATTCAGCCATAGCTGGTTGAAGCTTCAGTAGTTTAGCAGTTATAGACTTAACCTTATGGTTTACAGAAAGGTGGGGGAAGTGGTGAGGTGCAGCTGAGATTAGATTGACCTGTCGTAGGTTTGCAAATGAAATACAGATGCAGAGTAACATGAACTAGCTAATATAACTCTTGGAACTTATCCCCCCATGCCCTGCTTGGTAATATTTGTTGCTTCTTGAAGATGGGTCTTCTTAAGGTACAGCAAACCTCCCTTTCTTTAAAAGGAGTTAGTTTGATAGCTTTACTAGTTAAACTGCAGCTTCTTGAGTGTTTCTGAGTTATGGTTCTTCTCTTGCTTAAAACCCCCTCATTTTAGCATTTATCCTTGTCAAGCCAAACTGTGGTAACACTCAACTGTTTTATTGTTTTATTGTAGAGACTTGCTTTTTTGTATTATTACATATTTGAGTTTGAGAAAGAGCAGTCTCCACGGTATGTATATAGGTTCACAGTGGTGTTATGTGTCTAGCCAGCAATGCAAAGGATGTTGCATCTCTCTGTCAAAATCATTTTGTCTTTAGAAGCCAGTCAAGGAAACCAGATGAAATTCTGTACAGTTGTCAGTTTTGCTCTTGCACCACATAATGGATACATATGCTGTATTTGGTTTTCTATTTCTCCTAAGCACAATGAGCAGCAGTCACAATTTCTGTGGATTTCATATAGTATTTGGACTATCCCATTTATGATTCACTTATCAGAAGATCGAATAATGAATTGCAAAATAGAGATTGAATATAAAATGAAAGACCAAATTACTCACATACTTCAATTAACACAAAAGCCCTGGAAGTAAAGCAAAAATATGTTTTCCCTATATACATATCACTTTCCCAAGCATCTATATACTTTCAGAATCCTATATCAAATGGAGGTTTCCAAAATTAGCAGCCAAACTGAGATGATACTGCATAGAAACAGTTAGAATTTAGCACATATGTGTACTAACAAAGGTGTTTCGTATATCATCCTATACAGCACATGGCCATGCAGTCTAACTGGGATACAAATTAAAAGACTGTAAAGTTAGAAATTATATCTATCCAGTTGGTCAAAGCCACCTTATACACTCGGGATCTTACAAAAGGCACATAGCAGTCATTTAAAAACAAGCACATCCCATCACTTCTTCTTACACAAAAGTTCCATTAGATATAATGGAATTAATTCACCCATTTCTCAGACCTGCTATGATACAATGATGGTTTGAAAGTGAAGTCTAAGCTAGAATTTAAAAAAAAGAAAAGAAAATAATTCTGATCTCTTCAGTCAGTGAAGTAGAAACTTTGGGAAGTGCAGATGAAGGTTTTTCCTATGTATTTTGGCACCGTTAAATAGATCATAAGGTATTTGTGTACAGCTGGATCTGAGGGCAAAATAAAAAATAACATTTTTTACTTAGGATTTGACTGCTGAGTAGAAATATACAGACTTGTTTGTGCAAACTGTATGTGGATGATGATTAAAAATATGAAAAGAGGGTAGTGATAAAGGTGTGGTGCCTTAAATGCATAATACAAAAAATTATTAAAAATCAAATCAGAAAGGGGTAAAGTTGGTGTAGCAGAAATCTACTACTTCTAGGACAAGTTCACATTTCTTAACATACTGCTTCTTCACATAAGACTTCCATGTAGAGATGAATGTTTCTTTGACATGAAATTATAAAACTTCTTAAACTGTTTGGCAAATAGCTGTAATTCCTGTGCTTTCTGAGAATACTACTAGCCTGGAATAATGAGCTTAAGTATAACTAACTATGTAGCATACAGCTTTCAAATGTACCATTAATGAAATGTCTGCCCATTTCATTAATTGTATCTGCTTTCAGTGGCTTGTGTAAAGATTTCAGAATGAGATTAGAATTTCGAACAAAAGTTCAGAGACGTGCAAGTGAAGTATCGGAAATCTGATAACATTAGACCAATGGTTATCTTCAAGAAAAGTCCCAAAAGACCACCACTTCAGCAAACGTTCAGGATTACAGCGCAATGAATCTTTGTGATTCAACAGTAAAATCTTTATTCACATTACTTCAGAGTCTTCTTTTTGCCTATACTGATTTCCAGAAGCAGATGTCAGTGCATACATACTGAGCTTTTCTTAAAAGGCCTCCATATTCCTTGACAGATAGCACTGGTTTGTGAGTTAAGTAGTCATATTAATTCAGAAAGGCAAAATGTAAGGATTTGGAGACAAAATATTCGGCTCGTATGTCACTCAATTTACTTTGACAAATTGAAAATCAAAAAACAATTTAATTCAATCCTCACAGGAAACACAAGTGTCTCTGTTTTGAGATAGGTAGTGCCTGGATCTACACTGCTCAGTGCAACAAACCTAGTGTCTATCTTTCGTTGGTAAAGACCAGGCCAGTATGGGAAGGGATGTCACTACAGTACTGAAAGATCATCTGGTCCCTAGTGAATACACATCATGATTACATTTTTGTCATGAACATGTAACTAACTCATTCTAGTGTTACCTACCATTTTACAATAACCTGCGTTTACACTGAAGTAGGAAAGCTCAGAATCATCTGCAAGGAATTACTGTGGATATGTGGATTTAGAGAAAGCCCAGGTGGAAGAGATGGAAAGTTAAACAGGATGAAGATAATGGAGAGGTTATTTTGTTAACATGAGGAAGAGAAGGAAATACTTTAAAATGCCCTTAAAATCACTTATGTTGTCTTTCCCTATATCTTATTTGTTTTGCTGTTTACAGCTGTTGTAGCTTAATGCCTGCATCTATATAAAAAAGACAAAAGAGGCAAACAAAACAGTACAGACCATACAGAAAAGTATCAGGGAATAAAACTATGTCTCTTTATTTCAACAGAATGCTGAAATTTCGGTATTTGAAGTGAACATTCGTTTTGTTGGTGGACTACTTTCAGCTTACTATCTTTCAGGAGAAGAGGTAAGATATTTCCACATGGTTTATCTTAATTAAACTTTTTTAGAACTTTGAAAATGGCTTATACAGCAGAAATCAGTCCATTGAGTTTTCTTGCTTCTATTACTGTTTTATGTAAGTCTTAAAGCTATTACTTCACGTTAAATGGTTTTGTTTTTTGTCCTTGTGTTGAAACGCTACCCAGCACATTCTTACTGGGCTTCATGCTGGAGTGTGTAATTATGAAATTCCTATGCCGTGGTAGTGGTAGATTTTGTTCATCAGGTTCTTACTTCACAAATTGGTTTTGCCCATGTCCTTTAACTCCTATAAACTATACTTCTGTTGGCCATCCTGAAGCTGAAGCTCCAAATCACATGGAAAAGACATGTTAAGAATTAAAACATAACTGGTAAACCCATACATGTGAATGTGTGTAGAGAATCACTATTCCATTAATCTCTATTGCCTGTCATATTTTCTGGAGAGAATGTAGAAATAGTTTCGTCTAAGAGCTTTGACTAATGCTACTATTTCTGTGATGTGTTTGGAGAAGGCTATACTAAGTCACAGGTATTGTGATATTTTAAATTTTTAGCTTGGCACTTGAAAAGTCTTTAATCTTGCTAGTTTAACTTCTTGTTCCTGTTTGTGGATTATAGTAGTGTTTTATTGTAGGATTAAGACAAGTTAATACTCTTTAACCTTAAGTTGATTTTATTAATGGATTTCTTTAAATCCAAAGCAATTACCAGTGCAAACTCCACAAAACCCCAAAGATGTATAATTTTCTTTCATATGTAAATTTCCCCAATACTGGGTAAAGCTCTGTTTTGAACCTGTCACTTTAAATTAATTTAAATTCTATGGTGTCCATGTTGGTTTTTGTTAAAGTTTATCATTATGTTAAAAATGTCTTAGAAGGTACTATTAGGTCATGTACCTGACAAAGCAGTTATAAGGAGACAGTGTTCCTTTGACATTTTTACTTAAGAAGACTTACCTGTTTATTTCTCATGGTCGTGTCCTGAGGGTTGGTGATGTTGATAAGACATTAATGTTTTAAAATGGACAGGCTTTCTTATTGTATCTATCTTATAATTTTCTGGGGAAGAAGTTTGCACTTAGACCCATTTCAAATTCACACTTAACAGTAATGACAGAGTTTGAGAGGTGGTTGGTAGCTGACTTGATCTTTGTAACTGTTGTTTTACTTAGTGTGACATTTCTGACTCTTGAAGGAAATCGTTTGTCCCTCTACAGTAACTGAGCAACCAGAAGTAAGAGTATCTAAGGGTGTCTAGAATTGAAAGCTGTTCCTTCTGCAATTAAATAGTTATACCTTTCACTGCAGATTTACTTTGTGCAAACAGGAGTGAATTTTTCCAGTATAACCTATTGCTACATTTTTATTAACCGGTTTTGACAGTAGAGGTTGTTTGGCAGACAAGCTGGTAGAGGACTTCACGTGAGGAGTCTTTACCTCAAGCAGCAGTTGTCTGACAAGAAATGCCTGAAGCATTTGTCATCTGTGCTTCATATGTATATTGATGGTTTATATCTTGTGTCTGTTAACAACCAGTTTCACTTTCAATCAGTGCATATAGTTTCTCCTAAATAACATCTAGTCATTGCTTCTCAACCATTCCTTCATCTTTAGAGCGGCAGTTTTACCACCACCTCTTGGACTAGGTCGATAGCAGCACCACCTTTCAAATAAAACTCTTCTACTAATTAAATGAGGAGACATTTAAAATGGAAGAGAGTGCTTCACAAAATAGTTAATTAAGTGGAACTCTTTGCAGTGGAATATCGGCGCTACTGGATCCTGTTGTCCATTCTAAAAGTGGACAGACTCATTAATGAAAGTAAAATGGGCTCCTAAACACAAATACGGCATGTATGATTAAGGAGGGTACTGAGCTCTTGCAGGCTGGGAAAGACACCATCCATGCTTGCCACTGGTTTTCATACTCTTGGACAGATAGCTGCTGTCCAAGACAGAATGATGTTCCTAATCTAACAGTTGTCCTAGTGGCTTGGAAAGTGCAACTCTGCATGCTGTGGCTTTATCAGATTTGGGGGAAGTTCTCCATTTGTCTCCTAAATCCAAGATACTGAGGCAAATAGCCACTGCTGCTTATGGTAAGAGCAGGATGCAGCCATTCTGAGGACGGAGCATCTGTGCACCAGTGTGAGGTTTCCCATGCTGCATGTCCTTCACTGTTGCTGCTACTGACAGGTGTAGAAAGGACTCAGAGCCCCAGAAGCTGGCTGCCACCATAGAAAATATGTCTTTAATCATCCATTAGTCCATATTGGTGGGCATTCTAAAAAGGCAGAACAACTTGTATGCAGGCTGTTTGGAAGATTAAGCTTTCTCAGTTGAAAGCCCATTTAATTCTTTATTAGATTAACTATTGAAAAATCTTGTATTTGCTATGCTAACTTATCAATATCCTAATTTAAAAGAGCTATGTTTCTGTAAAAGGAGTGGTGGAAATAATTATTGTTTGTACTTCTGAATTACATTTCCATGGGTAATGATCCAGAGCTGCAACACATTGTATGTTCCATAATCATTTGTAAGTCTAACTAATCATGATTAAAGAATATTCTATCATATCAAGTAGTTCCTAAAACATTCTGCTCATATAATAATTCATTTAGATAAAGGCACCAATGTGAATAATTCTAAAAATGAACAAATTTAATACTTTGCCTCTCGATACCTGTGTGTGGTGCTCACTTGCAGATACAGCTATGAGATGCATTCTATTAAACTTTGTACAACTTCTGCCTTACTAGAATGAATAAGTGCTAGAAGAGTGTCATACACTGTCACCTCTTTTTTATTATTTTGTTATTACTATTTAAGCCTAAGCTGGAAAGAATTCCAGTCAGATGTCAAAATTCATTTGTAGAACAGCTGCAAATACCAGAAAACTTGATTTCAAAATCAGTAACTGCTTAAGTGCTGCTCTTGGTTTTGTTTTGTTTTGGTTTTTTAAGTCCCTCATAATAATATTGCATTTGAATGCTTCCCTGGTATTCTTCCATGAGTCTGTGGTTGTAAGAAATTATTAAAAATAAACTTGGTTCCTTTAAAGCACTTCTAGTATTGATTTTGTTTGTATAAAAGCATCTGGGGGAGCCTGTAATACGGTATGTTTAACCCATAGGAACAGGACAGATTGTTTTGCAAACTTTCTTGATAATTTTGTTTAAATTAAACTTGAATTAATTAGTAGACATATGATTCCTTTTGTAAGCAACTTGGTATGCAACCTCTTTAAGTTTTGTACTGGAAATAAGATGTTTTAGTAAGGGAGAGATCTGTTTTACAGCTGCTTTGCTGTACTTACTAGTGTAACGTAAAATTCTGGCATACTGAGGGTCTGGAGTACTGCATGCAACAAGATTCCCTGTTCTGCAGAACCAGATAATTGCTTAAAGCACACCCAAATGTAGTCATATAAGGAGATAATTTGTTAACTGTTGGAGGAGGACAACAGTGTGTCCTTTAACAGCAGCTAAGACCTTTCTTGGAATCTGTGGATATGACAAACATTTGTGAGCACTGTAATCTTCACTGTTGGGAGATACTGGTGCTGAAAGTCATGATAGGTGTATGACACTGCTTATAGGAAATATAAAAGCCTTACTAATGATATGACTAGCTCTTCAGATTTACTGATAGCTGCTACTTGTAGATACTACTAAAGCTGTGTAATGAGGGGACTGTTTTACTTGAAGGTTGGTTCCGCAGTCAGGGAATACATTGCATAGGCAGAAATAGAAGGAGCTTTTAATAATTGTTGTTTGTATGAGTAGCAAAAAAAGTAAATCCAAAATGCCCTGAAGCGAGTAAGCATGTGAGTTTCAGACCCAGTTGGTAAGTTCCCGGATTCCTTTGAAGCTTTTCCATTTTTTGAATGGGATGAGTAATTTTATTTTTTTTTCCTGACAGAGTTAAAATATTTGGTATTCAGCAGCTGTTCTTCCTGCATAATATAACCTTCTCTTTTCTAGGACTAAAGATAGTTATCTTCACTGGAGGAAGACAAAATAAATTTGATAATGATGTTCATATTGCCATTTTTCACCATTGCACGAAGCAGAAATGAGACAGACTTCTATTTTTTTACTCTGGCAGTATATCTTTTTTGAAGGAACACGAATTTATCCTGATCAGGACGAAGGAATAAAAAAGGCGTAACAAACTGTTCTTCATGATGATAAATGCTGGACTTTCTGATTTTCATCTGTTCTATTAGTCTCTACCAACTGTTAGTTAGAAGTACTAAGGAAAAAAGGCGGGGGGTGGGTAGAGAAGTGATGATAAATAACCTAATTAGTTTATATCTGCATTTAAGAGTTACAGTGCCACTGTTCAGCGTCACATGGTGATCTTGGCCTCTTGTCTGACTCCAGAGCTAATCATTGCCCGCTTAAACAACCATCTATTAGTGATGGTAGTGCTGTCTTATTAATGAGGAGCACATGTGAAATAATGATGCAGATGCTATTGATCTAGAGCTGCCTTTGCCAAGCTGACCACAGACTGTCACTGACTTCATTTAGTGCTAAGACATTCTCCAGATGTCTTTAGCTATAGCTAATTTTATCTGTCTCTCCTTCATAGAGAATATTTACATACCATAAATACAAAAAAAAATATTGTTTAGCAATCTGGAATAATAGGAGTTTGTCACTTATGCAAAGGTATTGGCCTATTTCTGCAAACCAGGAATGTAAGTTCTAGTATAGGTGCCTTGGGGATCTTACCTTGCTAGTGTGAGAATTGACCATGTTTTATCTCCGGCTTCCTTTCACTTAACTTGACAGTAATGAACAAGAGGCCTTTTCCTTTTATGTCTTAGAAGCTTGATTTCTAATGCTGTTTGAAACTCCAGGCATACTGATCACTTCTATGTGTATGCCACTTAGCTCCTCCTTACGCATCTCCACAGACTGGCAGTAGCGTTTACTGTTTGTTAGAAATTAAAAGACTGCAATTGCCT